GTGACGTCCCCCCGGGTGTCGCTGCACCAAATGTGACGTCTGCCTGGTTGCGTCCGTCGTGCTATCCTGTCCTGTGACGACCAACTGGCTTGGTATTGGTCGCGGCACCAAATGTGACGTTCTAAACTTTTTGTGATTAGGATGGGAATCTGGTTAGATTCGGTATCAGCCTTGTCGTTCCCAGCTCGCCTCCAACGTCTAGTTACCGAAGTAACTGCTTTGATCTCCAGTCTAACCTACCCACGTTGTGAATTGGCAGACGAAATCAATCAGTCGTCGGGCCGTACTGCAAGTCGAGTCCGAATAAGGGTGATATCGCACAAGTATGTGTAAAAGAAAAGAAAATAATAACTCGAAAAGTTCAAATGTATTAAACAAAGGATAACAATATTTTATATATGGTTGCTGAATACAATACTTCCCAACCCGCTATATGGATTCGTGACACTTTGTGTTTGTTAGGCGAGTCTTAATATCTCAAGTTGTTTGTTCTTTTAAGAAACTGGTTCTTGGTGTGTCTTCAGGCGATATTCGTAAAACTGGTTTTGGTGGTATGAGTCTAAGTCGTTCTTCAAAAATAAATTGTTTTTGGCTAGAAGTTGAGTTCTGAATTTGCGTGAATCTTAGTCAGCTTCTACGAGGCGGGTCTTCAGGGCTTTCAGCTCACTGCACCTAACTGGAACTCGAACTGAAATGAACTCCAACTGCCTCTCAACTCTGCTTATATGGACGCCGACCAAAACCGGGGTGGGCTTGTCGGGGTTTGAGTTTCCTTGATAATTCCAAACCCACAACCCATTTCTTTGTTTTCGGCCAGGAAAATTTTATTATTTTCCATTTTTGGAAGTCTTTTCGCCCTCCCACCTTCTTCTGTTCTCATATTGGTATCTCACCATACCCTCAGAGAGTGTCAACGGGTTTCCCCTCTCTCTCACAGGGGCATATCACACCTATCCCCTCAATGGGTACCAACAGGCCTCCCCTCCTACTTCACATGATTGACTCCGCCTAACGCTATTGCTTACCATTCAGCCAATGGGCGCCCAGCGTCGTGGGTGTGGTCAGACTAGCCTCGGTTTTAAAAATCTTGCTCAAAGAAAAAAAATTTAATTTATTTTATTTTCCCTTTTCCTTTTCTTTCTTCTCTTCGAGGAGACCTCACACCCTAGACTCTTTATGTTAACCGAATTACCTGGAATTCGTCAATTAGCTTTTCGCCAGCACCAAGCGGGTGGCCACCCAGACGTACCTGCACTCCTGGTGCCAACCACTGATCCGATAAAATAGTCCCGCCACCACAGCCGAATTTCATATGGAATTCGTCAACGAGATTTTCGCCAATTATCAAGTGGGTGGTCAATTGGACGTTTCGCATTCTTGCGTTATCTATTCCCGATAAAATAATTTCGCCACCATAGCCAGTTTCGACACAAAATGGATGCCTTTTCCAAACGACCTTCCCGTAGATAACTGATGGTTTGGTCTTTTTGTTGTTTTTTTTTTGTTTTTTTTTTACCCATTTAATTTTTTATCTATTTAGAATTCTGTCTCTGAGGTTATTTGACCAACCTCAAATTTACACACGCCCCGTAACATAAATCAGATTAATTCCAGTATCTTTCTTTCTCGACAATGGAAATAAAAATTTTACCACTTTTCCTTGTCAGAAAAATAACACCGCTTAGTGTCCTTTTCGTGATGGCTTCTTATCACCTAATTTAATTCTCGCCTTTCTTTTTTTTTCTTTCTTTCTTTTTTTTAGCAAGCCAAATAGTGTCACAGAGAACATTTAGTTTAGCTTGATCTAGTCACTCTCTAATTACCACTTTTACCATGTAAACCAGTCCTGCCTACCGCACAGTAAGGTCCTCAGAGATTAATCTGGTTCCTCAACCATGCTTTCCTTGTAAGTTTGGCGAAACACATCATTAATAAAAAGGATTTCAAAGGGCGAATGAATCTTCTGGTAGAACTAGCGCAATTGGGTAGACTTAGTATCATTGCTATGCATTCAGTCATCAATCATGACATGACAGTATCAGTGTGAAGATCTCTTCTTTGACTTAAATCCACTGCCAGGCTGGAGATTTCTCCCCGATTGAATCAATGGTCACATGACCGTGACCAAGGTGCGCCTTCAAGTTAGAGGAAATCGTCTGTCATTTGACGAGTGATGGGCGCCGCTTGGGATATGGATTCCTGACACGCTATGCGTAAATTTCTACCTATCGGGATTTCAACCGATATATTTAGAGAGAACTTATCAGGTTGTCAGTTGAGCAGCGACCTTAAGATAACATCCGGTAATAATGATTATGATGGTGATGATGAGGATAAGTTTAGATTTCAGATCAGATTTATCATTTAAACCATATATAAACCATACCTGGCTATAATATTTTTCTTTATGATTTAGTCATTGTTTTTATTTTTCTAATTAAGCACCCGGTACCTAATAATATATTAATCTATAAACGTCTCTATGCTTTAGTAACCGAGAAAACGCCTCTATTTAGTCTCTACATCGACTGCATGCCCAAACTAATTCATTCTCAGTCAATGTGGCAAGCGACTGAAAGATGGTAGATTTTCCAAACCTGATATTATTGAAATTTTGCTTAATCAAATATTATTTTCAAAGATTATGTTTTACTAAAGCTTACCCAAGGGCCAAGAGCGGTTCAAAATAGAATGTTATCGAAACAGGCGTATGAAATAAACGTAAGATGAGAGAAAAAAAAGAGATGATTACAAGGATATGACAGAGAAGTTACTGTTGACTCTAGATTTGAAGACTTTTCTATGATGAGGTGGTGTTATTATTTACACTATTTGCATTCAGGTTATTGTCCTCATCTTTGTTATTTTTATCACAACGTTGAACTAGGATTGAAGGTCACGTGAAAATAACATAACCGTAAATCTGGTCACATAATAATTGTGAGTTCAATCCCTGGGCTGGTAAGTGTGCACTTGAAAACGAGCGAGAAATAACTAAGCAGTACTAAAAATAAAAAGTAGAAGAGCTATCCATAGACAAGGACAGTGGAACGAGTACAGTCTACTCCAGTAGAAAAAATAAAGGGTTTAGTTGAGAATTATCAGGAGATTATTTTGATCAATATAAACCTGATTAAGTCCGGAAGACGCCACAGCCGAAACGTTCTGATAACAACAAGAAAGATGAGGATATTATTCCGATTGTAAACAGTATAAGTAAGACATGAAGAGGTTAAAATTGTGATGAAACCAACCGGGTGTTTGGACCGCAATATAGTGTCGTCCTAGACGAAATATACTAAAAGGAGGCAATAGAAAATAGGAATTTAAAATCGAACATCTCACAGAAAACAGAAGAAACAAATTGACTGTTATACGGTCGGGTCACTTCTTAGTCAGTGTCTATAGGTTCCCTGTGACAGATAGCAGGGTGTAGAGTTTTCTGAAACACTAAATCTCATTCAATTTGACCCATAATTTGAACACATTATTGATAGGAGGGAGATGTTAGTCATGGCCTTCTTTGATGGCGATTTCCAGGAACGTTAAATATATCGGGATATCTGCGGGAGACACCGTGTGTGTGCGTGTGTGTGTATGATTCGCTCAATATCTTCAGACAGGATATACATATATATATATATATATATATATATATATATGTGTGTGTGTGTGTGTGTGTGTATGTGTGTGTATATATATGTGTGTGTGTATATATATATATATTCACACTCACAAACACACACACATATATATATATATATATATATATATATATATATATATATATATATATATATATATATATATATCCTGTCTGAAGATATTGAGCGAATCATAGACTCAATAATTGAAATCTTGTCTTAAAAATTTTCAAATTATTTAGTTGTCAAAACAAAGCTCGATTTAAAATGTTTTATTGCAATTATTGAAATTATTTGATGTATTCTAATAAAACTGCAGTGTGAAGTTATTAGTCAAAATAATATAATCATGTTTTTACTTCAAGAAAAAGTAATGAAATCATCAAAAAATGATCGGCACCTATAATAGAACAAATAATAAACACATATGATAAATCGTTGAATTCTCTACGTCTTAATATATTGACCCCTCTTCTCAATAACAGCCAGTAATCCATTATCCTTTGTTATTTTTTACTGCAGAAGTAGTTTTAATTGTTTTTCCTAAGCCTGATTTTCTGTTATAAGTTATGCCACCTTCATATAATTTCATCTTCACAATTGACCATAGATTTTCGATCGGATTCAGGTAAGGACTTGGTGGTGTACAATCCATTATCTTCTCTTCCAAAAATCTTTTACGTTCAAAGAATTCACGGATAATCTTACATACATAAGAAGCAGCCTTGTCGTACATAAACACACACTTCTCTTTGAAACTGCGAGAATAGACGTGTACCCTTCAAAGGAAGTCTTGTTCATGAAATCTCAATAGTAGCACTGTTTAGTTTAAATACTTTACTGACTGTGAATGGTTTATTTATAGTTTGGCCAAAATTCCCCCACATATAATAATATTACCTCTTTGTTGCATTCTTTTAACCACAGGTGCATCCGAATTGGATAAAATCCATTCTTTGATCCATCCATCAGACCAATCAAATATCAATCGATATTCGTTCGTGAAAATGACTTTAGAAAAGTAAATTTTCATGTATTTCTAGTCCTTATTTTGAAGATTTAGCTAGAAGTTGCATAGGACATTTATTACAGATCAAAATTCAGAAAATATTCTACAAATGTTGTCTTACATGACACCCTCAATAGTAGCCTTTTCAAATATCTGAGCGCTGGTCGAAAGTGACTGTTGCGTGTACGCGTGTGCTGGTGTGCGTACACAGGCAAGCAAATAATCGTTATATTTATTCATGAGGTGAAAACGTAATAGTGCCCACTGCGGTTACAAACAGAAAAGATATGTATTAGTGCCTATACGCGTACCTAGGTTTTGGCGTGTGACTATAGTTTCGCTTGGTGATGTTCCCAGTTCATCGGGCACGGAGTCTTTGTTGCCGAAAGTAAACCATATATATATATATATATATATATATATATATATATATATATATATATATTCATCGAGTCTAGAAGAAACCTCAACAGAATACAGAAAGCACTGGACGGCCGATTCCTCCCATATTTAGGACTCATCAGCAGTGCGTATCCACTACCGAGAAATGAAACCCGAACAGTTACATTGATAGGCAAACGCCACTAACGGGCCTTAGTGACGAAGAAATAGCGAACAAACTGTGTGTGTTTATATCCATATATATATATATATATATATATATATATATATATATATATATATATATATATATATTGTCGTCTGAATTACGCAAAATCAAAATAAAAACATTTCATTTTAGCAGTTATATTTACCCAAATTACACAAAACTATCTTGAAATATTAAAGAGTATATTTCTCAATAAAATTGCCATTTGGCTTCAACAACGCCCAGTATTCTACTTTGGGATCTCCCGTATCTGTTTAGGACGGTCTCCATGTTTAAGTATGTAGATGCTGCTTTAATCCTTGTCTTCATTTCATATTTGGTGTTGCAATGAGTTATTGTTGTCTCGCGCTCAAATGCGCCCACCAAAAAATAATCAAGGTGTTTAGAGTCTGAGGAGTTCGTTAGCCAGATGTAAGGGGTAATGTGGAATGGTGCAGAGTCCTGTTGCCAGACATAGGTTCTTCCAGCATCCGCCCACTTGACCCAGGACGGCACTCCCTCCTCAAGTCACTTGATGTAGGCTACCGTGTTGTGTCTGAGACCTTGCGAAAATACGGAGACATAACTTTCCCATCAATAGTATTCAGTCCAAAGATTTTTGGAATCACCATTAGACACATCCATCTTTGTCTACACCCTCGGCTCTCTCCCCAGAATGACACCAAAACACTCTTAAATTTTTGTATTGTAATTTCCGTTGCTAATGATAAGAAGTATAGCATGCTGTATCCAAATTTCTGGCGGAGTGAATTGCATCATGCTGCTCCTTTTCTTACAAACGGTTCCCAGCCTACCCTACTTTTCTGTGCAGTCGATAAAATTAAAAAACAAACTGGAGGCAGGTGCAAAATTAAAATATAAAGAGCGACAATTTACTCATCGCACCCTATATGTATGTATGTATGTGTGTGTGTATATGTGTGTGTGTACTCTGTAATTCGATATCGTAAAATCAATTCATAAATTATAGTAAATGGGGTGGAAAATGGAGCCAGGACAAAGGAATAAAACCCGTGAACAGAAGATATTTGGTAAGTCTTCTCAGGATGCAGATGTTCCATTCTACAAATTACTCTTTCTATAATTAGTGAAACATCTGAAGCAGTACCTACTGAGTAACTATTCATTCTCTTTAAGTAGGACTGAATGACATTGAATCGTTTGAAATGACAAACAGAAACAGACAGAAAGTTAAGAGACCAACCAATGATTTTACATGAGATTGCGTCTGTGATCATTTAGCGAATGCGTCACATTACAATATCATTGAAACTGGACTAGTATACTAGTATACTAGTATACATAGAAATACACCTTTCATTTTACACAATATCGAAGGAACAAATACCATTTCTTTTTCGTTCTTTGTGTTTATCTTTTTTTTCTTTTCAAGGATACATTTATTATACTCAGAAGCCGAGTTAGGGTCTCCAATCTTATAGGATAGATAAAATGTTATAGTGACATTTCTCCTTTATTTAAAAAAAAAACATTTAAAACATTCTGAGAATGCAAAAGAATAATGACAGTTGGTTGGACGGAGTTCCATGACACCCAATAAATCTTTCGGCTATATGAACATTGACATCACTCCAACAATCTTCGAGTTGTCTATATCGATAGCATCACACCAGATTACCAGAATTTGACAGAGAAATTAGTTCCATTGGTAGATCTCCAACCAATATTGTTATTATACTCATTTTCTCATGAATATGAGTGTTTTAACACAATGTATGGGGACTTTTTCAGAGTCTGTTTAAGGTAAGAAAATAGAATTTATTAGATGTATTTAGAATAGCAAAAGAAGAGTCATTTTTCCAAGTTATTTATGATTTAACTCCAAGACAGTCGGGAATGCCACTTGTACGCAGGTGTTTACAGCCGGTGAAAGAGAGAGAGAGAAAGAGAGAGAGAGAGAGAGAGAGAGAGAGAGAGAGCGAGAGAGAAAAGACTGAGAATAGGGAGTATTGACGAAAGGACAAAAGATGAACAGGGTTCAGATAGATAGAAGATGACGATTGACGTTGCATTTAAATTTTTGAAGATTATATTTATCAGGGAAACAAGTAGACGGAAGGAACTTCCACAGGCAAGAAGTGCCTAAAAGCTGCCGGAGTAGAAGTGACGGTTGCATTTCAACAGTGGCTGTTGCTATTTTAGCAATAAACGGGTGAAACCTAGATGCCGATCTAGTAGCACGCTTTAATTCATGTAGTCGGTTTACCAGAAAGAAAAGCTCGTCAGAGCAGTTGCCATGAATATATTTGCAGAAAAGACAGAGGGAAGCGACTCCACATCAGTGAGAAAAGACGGATGCCAAGTCAAGATCGATTACAGATCCTTTGGATTCATTCAAGAACATTGAGATGAATAGCAGGAGTACCAGACCAGATATTGCAGAAGTTCTCAATGCAAGGACGAATGTTAGATTTATAAATGTGCAAGATGGATTCTGACGAGAAAAATTTTCTGGCAAGACACAGTAATCCAACTTTCCTTGCAATAGATGCAACTATTGATTCGGTGTCGTCGCTGAACTCAAAGTCAGTTAAAAACGTGAGACAATAATGCTCTCTAGGCGTCTAGTGGCAGTCATGCTGATAAAAGGGAGAAAGGTTTCTCTATCCGTGGTTTAATGAGAGCAGTTTTGTTTTGAAGGCATTGATATTTACAATCCATTTCCTGAACCAGTCAATTACTGATTGGATATCTTTTTCAAGTGCAGCAACCAGGTTTACTTTGTCAGTTCTAAATGATTTGTTATTGTGACAAGAGTAAATGGTAGTGTCATCTTCGTAAATACCTAATTTGGAACTAAGAACATCCTATAATTATTAATAATAGGAAAACTACAGTGATGAATCCGAGAATAAGAAATGAAAGGTTATATATAGACATCATAAGTATCTTTTATGTAGAACGCATCACTATATGCTAGGTATCATCAAAGAAGAAACAGGGTCATTGAAAGATCTCATAAGCAGAGTTAAGAAGAGGAGTTTGAAGTGGGATGGAAACGCCATGAAACCCAACAATCTTTTCAATATTATCCAACCTCGTATCAGTTTGGGGAAAATGAGCAAGAGGCGAAGGAAAAAAAACTGCAGGCAAAGACACTGAGTCGACTGGAGAATACTTCATATAGACATTGGCTAGCGACCGAGTCATGTGGTGGGAACGGGTCATGTGATCAGCTAAGCAGCTACCCTACTACTAAATTGGGACACGGGAACGGATAATAGTGAAGATTATGATCTTAAATATGGTGTAAATTTAAAAAGAGATGACTGGTAGTATCGTACTAATTCATAAGAAACAATATTTTATCAAAACATGTAAAAAAATGCCACTAAATTGAGAATCAGTTTCAAATATATCTATCTATCTATCTATCTATCTATCTATCTCTTGATTCGGGACAACATTGGTAATATTGCTAGCAACTTTTTCATACGTTTTTTAGTGGGCAGTTTAGCGTTATATTATTTTAATCGAATGACCAGACGTTCATACTTTTCTCCATCAAACTACGTGTCGTGAATGCATGGAGAAGAGGAATCTTGTCCTTCATAAAGGCAGGCCAAACTTAAACAGTCCTTTCCCAAAGTGAACTTAAGCATTCAATTCGAACGTCGAGATCATTTCAGCTATTGGCTCTCACTCTGGCCACTACAAAATGACAGAAAACTACATGAAAACTACCGTAGAAGCATGAAAAATCGATTATTTGGGAAATGCAAAGTCGGTCTTGGCCTTCTTGCTAACTTGGAACATGTGCATGCAAATTTTGGTGCAAATCCGTCGAAAATTGCGGCCGTGCATTCGTTACAGCAGACACATACATCCTGCCTTTTTGATATATATATATATATATATATATATATATATATATATATATATATATATATATATATATATATACATATATATATATATATATATATATATATATATATATATATATATGTGTGTGTGTGTGAAAAAATATATAGAAAATTGGAAAGAACTCGTTAGGTAAATAATCCAAAGTTCTTTAGTATTTTTTGTTAGTATTTTTAAAAAATAGTGCTCGATACAAAAGTAGAGCATAAATATAATTATTTATTTAAATAAATTAATTAAATTAGATTAATTATATTGAAGTTTTGAAACCTGAGAACTCTTATGTAAAGGTTGGAATCATATTTTTAAATAAATAATTATAATTATAATTATATATATATATATATATATATATATATATATATATATATATATATATATATATGCATATATATATCATAAACAAAAATGATTGAAACAGGTAAAAACAAAAAGAAATTAAAAGAAAATTTACTAATTAAAAACATAAAAAAATTACAGCTTCCCCTCTCCCTAATGCACATGTGTAATCATACCACCGTAAGTATAATTTTAGCCCGATGTAAAGCTTCACACTGAAATTTTTTTCCACTTTGTCATACTTTTTCCCTAATATTGCAATCATGCACTTACATGCACACACACGGCCGCAGGCGCACGTACTCTCTCACACACAAATGCATTATAATTCAACACTAAATATTTATGTTGAATTTTATTCAGCTTATTAAATAAATGTTATTTTCATTTAAACATGACCTTTTTAATGTGTAAGTTGTTTTTTGATTTTTTCTATAATTGTTTTCAAAACTCAGTAATTGCGAAGTTTACTATTCTTTTTTACTAATTGCGATGTGTTTATATTTCCTAATGTGAATGCAGACGGCTTCAGTCCAGTTTGGAAAAAGGCAAGCGTTGTGACAGTTTTTGCAAGTCGAGAGGGCTTACTTTTCTAAAGACAAATTCATGAAAATATGGCAAATAACCTGATCAGTTTATAAACTACTATAGCCAAGAAGAGACACGCAACTCCCTCGATCACGAAACATATCCGATTTCTTTATTTATTTTCTGTTTATGCTTAGTTGTTTTTTTATTCTTTTTCAATATTTGCTTCTGCATTTTACTGTTTCTCTTTTTCTTTCTTTCTTTCTTATTAATTGCATTGGAGAATTCTTCATTTTTTTTTTCATTTGTGTCGTTCTCGTTTCCTTTCTTTTATGTCTTTTTCTTTACTTTTCTTTCATTTTCTTTCTTCCATGCCCCCATTCATTCGTTTTCCTTAATGTCAAGCTTATTTGCATTATTTCGACATTTGTTCTTTCTTTCTTTATTTTTCTTCTTTCCCTATTATCCACCTTTTCCTGTTTCCGCATTTTTCATTGTTTCTTCATTCATATTTCATTCGCTTTCTCTTCCTTCTTTCTCTTATTCCATTTTAATTGTTGCCTTCTGTTATATACCGTACCTATGAACACTAATGTGTATGTCCCAATCCTAATAAATACGTTGGACACTATTGAAAGTGGCGGTAATATGCTGTTTAAGTAGTCTACTACTAGCAGTGGTTTACCTACTTCGCACAGCTGGCGAGTATTGTATTTTGTTGATGTGAAAGAGTTTACAATTTCATTTGCTACCTCCTTTTTATGTATTCCTCATTCAGTCCTTCCCTAGTTTATAACACTTTCTTTCTTTCATTCACTCTTGGTCATTGTCATTTTTTTAAAATTTTATTTCCTTTTATACCTTTCTATATACGTTTCTTCATTTTCTCTATATCCTTTCGTCTCCTGTGTATTCCCTCTTCTTAAACCTTTTCTTATTTGCTTCCTTTTTTTAACTTTCTTTTCCGTTATTATTTATTGAACAGCATTTCACTTCATCTTGTTTTCATCATATATTCTCCAGGCTTTTTCCCTCATGTATTCTTTCAAATCATTCCTTATATTTTATTTCTCCATTTCTTTATTTCTCTCTTCTTTTCTTTTCCTTATTTTTGATCTTCTTGATGTTTCATGTCAAGTTCTAATAACAACTCCATCGGTCTAACAGCCATAAACCTGGAAACACGAAACTTGCAAACATGGCTGTCCATTAGAAATCAATATGCTCACTAATTTGGGCCCGGTAAATTATCCGGCCTGTTTGGTCTTTGCTCACAAGCCGTAGTCGAGCTTTACTATTGTATATTACATGCCACTCCTGTGCCATCGCTTACACCATAAAGAAAGAAACGCCCATTCCCCGACATGTTTTCTCTCAACGCAACCGCATCACCCGGAATTCTATTACCAACACTATTTTCCTTTGTCAGTATTGATGTGAAAACTGACCTTGGATCCGAACGGACAAAATTAAAAATAACTTACAGTGAATATTCTGATGAAAGAAAAATCAAACGCTCTTTGTTCCAAGAATTTTCTCGAAATTCTTTTCTATTTGTTTGTATCATTTATATTAACAAAATATCGTTTTTTTTTTTTCCTTTGAGAAGGGCGGCGGTTGGAAAGGTTCATTTTTTTTCCTTTGTAATGACATCACCGGAGCGTTCCTTCCAGTTCTAACAACCTACTAAACTAGAAGTATAATGGGATTGATATTTGGATATTTTTTTAATGGAGTTCATCAAATGAAAGTCAGTGAAGCCGTTAAATATAAGTGTTTCCTGGGTATGAAAGACTTCGATACAGAAACGTTGTTAAGGAGCGAGAAAAAAAAAAGACGAGTAACCAGGAGGAGTTTAGACAGGGATTAACATTGCATTTAAATTTTTAAAGATTAACCTTGGCTGGAAGTCATGGAGTTAGAAGGGAGTTCCATAATTGAGAAGTGCTTAGAAAAAAAACTGTTAACATAGAATTTATGGTTACGTCTCGCCATCTCAACAGTATATTGATGAGACTTCATCACATGTCTAGTATATTAGAACAATTTCCATAAAAGTGTAATTTTTCAGCAATGAAACAATTCTGCATGAAAGAGTAATGAATGAATCTTGCTAATATTGAGTTTGACAAAGGAGGATCAATCGTGCCCAGAATGCCCTCACAGAATGCGCTTCACATTTGATAAAAAAAATAAAAAAATAGATATTGATTGGATTAGTAAAAAAAAAGAAGTACTAATACTTCTTTTTGAGTTAATATTGACTGAGAAAATCAACATAAACTCTATACCCACGTCGATCTGGGAGAGCAGTGCTTAAGTAATGTTCAATCGATCAATATATGCCATACCGGAGTCAGATGACGACGGTCTATTGACAACATGCCCTCTGCATATCCGAAGAAATTCAAATTGTCTTCACCAGGAAAGAAGAAATCGATTCCAGAAGGGGTAACGGTGGCTCGCGACTTGATTTGACACACAGAATTCTTCAGAAACAAGTCTTGTAATTGATCGTGCGTAGTTTCAGGGCCATGGGTAAATTATAATGATAATTCTATCGGAAACAATGCTGAGGAAGGGTGTGTTGTAAGGATCCAGCTGTTTCAGTAATTATAATTAAATTTACAGTAATCTAATATGTAATTGCATTCGATATAAGATTACTATGTCATATATATATATAGGTACCTCCACGAAATCGCTAAAAAAAGAGCATAGCTTGATGAAAAAGACGCCAACCTTGCCGAAAACAAAATTTTATTGTCTAAATGCTTATGTTATTATTAAGAGGAAAGGCCAAAGTTTTTTTTTAATTATTTTAAAAAATTCTTTCTTTTTAGAACATTCTAAATTTTGATTAAAAAACCTTTTTTTCTATTTGTATCAGCGTTACTAGTAAATAACATAGACAATTTTTAGCACGTTTTTTTGGTATGACACACATTAATTTGAAAAAATCGTGCAAAAATAGAAATAATTATCGGATGTTAATGAAACTTTCTCAGGAACTATTCACAGATGATCGAAATTATTATAAGTATGTTTTTTTTATGAAAATCATGGTAGAAATATTTTTTAAATATTTATTACCCCCCGCCCATAACTAATTTTATGAAAACGCTAGAAATTCGATCGCATCGGTTTTAGTGATTACACAATTAAAAGCCCAGGGCTTTGAGGAATGCAAATCATGTTTTTTTGTTTTTAATTGATACGCAGTACCTGAAAAATCAGCTCTGAATTGTAGCATACAAAAACTCAATAAAACAAAGATATTATTTAATTTCAAATGCTTTTATTGTCTTTTAGTTGTTTTTATAAATATGAACAATATTTTCTGAAAGCAAAAATTTTTTTCGATGAAAATGAATTTTTAATACAATTATTTGTTATTTCATTAATTATAATAGATTTTACATTTAAGTTGTTAAAATATTATAAAATTAGTTAAAAGCCGCATCGGCTTTCATAAGTGTCCTTATGAGATAGATCTTTTTTAGCGCGTTGTAAATTGTATCATTTTGACTAATCAGAAGACCCCAGTAATTAAGAAATGTAATTTTGTGCTTATAATCGAGGTGTAATTATAAAATACGGAAGACCAACCAGAATATAATTAAGTTGCGTTATTTGAGTTAAGCATTTTCTCCGCTGTTAAGGCCTTTTACTTTTACGAAACACGTGTGGAGAAGTTAATTTGATTTTTCAATTTCAACTGAGAAGGGTACCTACAAGTATCAGTATCATCTTATGAAATTTATATGATTTTTATTTTATATTAATCTCAGTTACGACATTTTTCCATAAATGAAATATCAAAATTAATAATAAAATGAATGCAAATACAAATAACAATAGAATGTAATAAATGTACATAAAATTCAGTATCATCTTATGAAATTTATATGATTTTATTTTTATATTAATCTCAGTTACGACATTTTTCCATAAATGAAATATCAAAATTAATAATAAAATGAATGCAAATACAAATAACAATAGAATGTAATAAATGTACATAAAATTATAGTATTTTATGTACAATTCTAAAATTTCATAAGAAAGGTACCTATAAATTAATTAGAAACCTTTCTTAAGAAATATGAAATTTAATGTCAATCTTAACAGTTTTATTTTAATTTCTTTACAATATATTTCCCATAAAGCATCATAAACGTAAAGGTGAAAGCTAAGTACAAAAAAAAATTAGACCGCTGAAAGTTTTCGTTAAAAATAACGGGTAAATAATTTGTTCACGTAAATGTAAATTATTTCACTTTTTCTCCTTCCGTAGAACAAATTAGCATCATGGAATTCGTAAATATATCATTCATCACATGTCATGAGACGCGAAAGTTTATGACCTGCTTTGTTTTATTTTCAAATTACATCTTTTTTGGCACAAAAGCTAAGTTAAGTTTGGTTCAAAATATTTTAAATAAACATTATAATTTCTGATTTTCTTAAAATAAATTTTGAAAAAAATGATAATTGATATTTAAAAATTTCAAAGTCAGATTTCCAGTTTTTTTTAAAATGGAAAAAATGTCAATTTTGCTGACTCAAAAAAAAAAAGTAGATTTTTAACGAAATTTCGGACGTGCTAGGAACGATTAAAAATGGAACAAAATACCCAAAAAACTTTGACCTTTCCTCTTAATAATAACAAACATTTAGACGATAAAATTTTTGTTTTCCTCAAGTTTAAGTCTTTTTCATCATGCTATGCTCTTTTTTAGCGATCTCGCGGAGGTATATATATATATATATATATATATATATATATATATATATATATATATATATATATGTACGCATGAAGCGTCAACACACAGCAACAACACTCTGTTTTATGCTTATTTTATCATATATATATATATTTATTTATATATATATATATATATATATATATATATATATATATATATATATATAAAAAGTTTCAAATTGAAAATTATAATGTTTTATTTTATGAAAGTTTTATTTATTTATATATATATTTGATATTTCAAATTGTCCTCAATTTTTCATCAGAAATAACTGTTTGTTACAAATAAATTAAAATTACTGTTAGTTAGCAAGTAGCGTCCTTCGCGAGACGCGGACGTCACGTGATATGGAACGTCACTGTTCGGATATTCCTAACTTAAATCTAACTGTCATAAATATTTAAAATAATATATATATATATATATTATTTAATCAAGCTTTTATTATAGTTTACACTTCGTGTCTGAAATAGAAACACCACTTTCATTTATGAAAAGTGTCTATCAAGTTTATCGGCCTGTTGAATCGAGAAATCTTAGTAAATATAATGTCCTCTTGTTTCCCTCTTTTTAGGGTGAATCCACCTTTGCATACGGCTTGCATTGCCGGTCGAACAGACACACATACATATATATATATATATATATATATATATATATATATATATATATATATATATATTATGAAATGGACAACTATTTTGAAAGAAAGTTTATGTTTAACATTCTTTTTATAGATACAAGTATTTAAGTAAATGATATGTATATAATAAACAGTATTAAATAACATTTATCGGCCTGAATGTCCGAGAAATTTTCATAGAAAATTTTCGTCCTTCGTCAGGATTCGAACCAGCGTTTTCGTGGTATTTTAAGAACAAATAGTGAACCGTAAATAAAACACTATAAAAGTATAAACACGCTATGATATAAAGAAAAAAATAAACTGTAATACTTTTTTTTTTAGGTAAATAAATTACCAACAATATATTTTTAACCAAAATCACCGACTGTAGATTTGATAATTAAGTTACGAAGATTTCTGTTTTTTTACTAAAATGACAGAAAATACAGTTAAAGGCATACAATTGCGTTCAACTTACTTCAGCATTAAATCACCAATATGCCGCTTAAGAAATCCAAACAACGAACATATAAGCACTCCTTCATGACGTTAATCTGTATAGTATCCTACAATTTCTTAAATAAAACTGTATTCCAATATATAACTTCAGCAAAACGTAAAACGAACGTCATCGTTCTATAAATAAGGTCCACATAAAAAAACAGATGCACAAAAGCTGATTATCATCGACCATATATTCAATTGTGAAAGCAGAATAACATATGTTTGTTGATTACTTCAAAGCTACCTGTAAATTTAAATTTCAGCATTAAATGACCCATAAAATAGTTAGTATGGCGTTAAACACAGAAAACAATCAATCAATCAATCTTCCCGGCATATCCTCAAGAAATTCACACCTTGCACTTACTTACACTCGTATATGCAATCTTCTACCTTTGAGTGTCTCTCGTGCCTTGTATTGTGCGAAGATTAGTATATATATATATATATATATATATATATATATATATATATATATATATATATATAATTATTTACATATTATATGCGCAGTACTTATTAGAAAGCGCTCAATATCAGAGTTAGAGCTCAATATCAGAGATAGAGTTTGTATGATGATCGCAAAAGCGTGAAACCCAGGGTCACAAACTCATCATCAACCAAATATATATATATATATATATATATATATATATATATATATATATATATATATATATATATATATTAGTTTTTTTTTGCTTTTGATCAAAACACACGTGAACGTTTACAGGCAGACACACATACACTCACTCATGCACGAAGTCATACACACAAACGCAAGAAATCATTCACCAGTATGTATCGATTTCTATCCTTCGCTAATTTCGTTTCCGGTATCAAAATTATGTCTGACATTCTCAGCTAGGATTGCAAAATTGCGTCCACACTCCAACAAACGCAAACACTACAAATTATCCTCAAACACAATTATGTGTTTATCCTTTGCTGCGTCTTTGTCCGTGCGACAAATATATTTATCCCGTACGCTAAGAATGAATGGCGACTATACTATTGCGCAAACGCACATCCACTCGCTCCACACACGCAGGCACACACACGTACATATAAACTCCAATACACTTACACGCGGCAAATAATCTGTCAGTATTTCTTGGTTTCTGCCATTCGCTAAGTCTGTTTGCATCTACGACACAAATGATTTGTACTTTCAGAAATAAGAATTCCTAAGCTATCAGAGGCAAATGCACAGAAACATAGATAAAAGACACGCAAATACAACATAACAACACCTTATTTATAACGCTTTCTATGCATCTATCTATCCCTCGTTACATCTACTTGGTGGCGCGAAAAATATGACTTGTACGTTTGAAAGCAATGTTACTTATATTATCACTGAGAGATATATAGATAGGGAGATGGCGAGGGAGTGAGAGAGAGAGAGGGATAATACGAAGGCAATAGATTGGGCAAAGGAGAAAGAGAAAGCAAAGAACTGAGTGAACAGAATACTTTATATATCAGTATTTCTATGTTTTTATCATTCTGTTGTATAGCCACCTCGTATCTGGTAGTCGAGGGCAACGCTCTCCCTTATGCTGGGAGGTCTTGGGCTACGGGCTTCATTCGATAATAACATTGCCTTCTTCATTCACAGTCGATGATCTCTAGTCGGTTTTGGTTCGGAGATAAAACGAACTTCAATAATGGGAATATTAAACTTAGCTACTTTATTCGTCGACGTATACATCTTCCACTGAGATGCCGCTTCCAGACACTGCAGAGAACGTTTTACATTTTTTGATGGTTTAGAATCGACTCCCCGAAAGGTCTTTCTCTATGTATCATACCCTCGCTAGTTCAACCAATCAAAATCGACTTCCTTTATTTTGTCTTGTATCTGACACCAAAGGTCAAACGGAGGAAGTCAGAGCAGAAATGAGCTTCTTTAAAAAATAACAGTCTGCTAAAATATAATTTAACTATTCGTTTGTACTTTTTAGTGAAAATAAAAAAAAGGGAAAGTTTTAATTAACATCAAAAAGAGATAGGTGAAATTTCAGGTTTACACAATGAAGAAAGAGTGCTTGGAAAATGTGATACTCGTGTGACTGATTGAGGGCAAAAAGAAACAGATGAAAACAGCGCATAACATACATAATGAGCTTGAGTATATGGATGACGGAACATGGTTTAAGAGAAATAACAACAAGAAACAATTAAGTGCTACATAGGACAGGGTTGTTTTTAAGCGTTTCTCCCTAAGCAAGGCGGGAAGCCACTAGCACGCAAGGGGTTTCAGATAGTTGGAGCGAGAGCAAAGAGCAGTGAGAGAGGAAAGGATGAAGAGAAGGATAGGGGATAGATCAAGACTCCTGGAGACGTCGATTGAAATTACATCTGAATAGTGGGAGATTATAGCTATCAGGGAAACAGGAAAAAGCGAAGGTATTCCACACGCGAGAAGTGAGAGACATGAAGATATTGGAGTAAAAGAGACGGCTACATTTAACAGATTTTAACAGTTTCGACAGTGAAAGTGTGAGAGCGAAATGCCAGCATAATTGAACGCTTGAATTCATGAAGTCTGGGAACCAGCGAATGCAGCCCATCGGAGCAGTTACCGTGAAAGTATTTGTAAAAAAGACAGAGGGAATCGAAAGCACGTCTATGAGAGAGCGACTGCAGAAGAGATGCCAGATCGGGGCCAATTACATTGCATATCTGTCTCTGAATTTTATCAAGTCCCTTGAGACAAACAGAAGGGGCCCCAGACCATATATGGCAACAATGCTCCATGCAAGGGGGAATAGTTGACGTGGAGAGACACGATCACCTACGTACTGAAGAGACACAATATACACACATTCTACGGTCTCGGATACCCCACATTAAATTCGACCGTGTGCCCCATCTGACTGCGTCGGGCGGTTGGTATATATCCTACTGTTACAGATTCATTGTGGAATTCACTTGACACACTTATAGCAGGTGACTACTTCTTCTATGCGACGCTGACGAATCTTATTTGAGTTGTTCGTTTCGTAAATATTAACGTTCCTTTCTAACCTTCGTTTGATTATGCCATTCTGTTACCTTCCTTAGGTTGCAACAATAATATAACTGCAATTATTCGCGTGTTTTTCTGTCGATGTGTATCCATATACATTTTCTTTCAAAATTAGACTCATGCCGCCGAAAAATTACAAACGAACAGAAAAATATAATCATCGTCCCATTCATTGGAAAACAGAAAAAATAAAGTCTATACATGACTGCACATATTCCTAATCAGTAATCAGATTGTTTTTGAAGATTTTTTTTTTTCAGAAGTCGTAGCGGCTGGTTCCAAAACACACGATTATTTCCTACTTCATTTTTATTTCTATGTTTGCTATTGTGTCTGCCTTGAGTTTTTCACGTTCAGCGATTTCATATGTTTATTAAGTACAGACTAGCGTCACTGAAAAATTGATAATTGTATTAGTTCCCTCAACTGAGGTGATGTTTCTTCCCATTGCGTAGATTTCCACCGATGTAAACACGGTGAAACTAATTTACCACATCTAAACATCAATAACAGTATATATATATATATATATATATATATATATATATATATATATGTGTGTGTGTGTGTGTGTGTGTGTGTCTCTCTCTCTCTCTCTAAGCATATATATATATATATATATATATATATATATATATATATATATATATATATATATATATATATATGTAACACATTAACAAACACCACAAGAAATATAATATTTGAGAAATCCTCTTTGACAATGCTAAAATACTCTATAAATCCAGTAGAAAAAAGACTAACAATTATTGAAAATATTTCCAGTCAGAAAAAGCAAGTTACCCACGAGTAAAAATAGTCTGCAACCCAATATACTTCAGCGCACATAAAAAAATAAAAATGGACGACATGACTGATAAACGTTGTTACCATGACTTTCAGTATGACTTTGAGTTACCAGACTTCAAACAATTCTTTTTGATACTTTCAAAAAACTAAGAACTAAAAACAGAAAGAGCTACTTAAAAGGCTTTTGATTTCCTCCTCTGTAAATTTACTTTTCACGACGCCGAAGATGAGGCATGCGAGGCGAGAGTTTGGACACTGAAAAATGATTTCGGATTTTTTTTTCTTTGTTTTTTTTTTAGTTTCAATATTTTGGCATCTGCTGCAGCCATATTTCCGGAAGATAATTCGTAGTTTAGAAAAAGGCATTAGATGGATCTAGTTGACATACAATATCTATACTTTTTAATAAAATTTTATAAGATCAGTTGCTGTTCAGTGATTCAATATGCATCTATCTATCTATCTATCTATCTATCTATCTATCTATCTGTAAACGTACCTCTCTATATGGCTGTTTCTCCCCCATTCTCTGTCTCTCAACACATACGAACACAGACACAGACACACACACACACACACACACACACACACACACATATACATATATATATATATATATATATATATATATATATATATATATATACATATAAATATATTGTGTTGTGGTAGGATCCACCTAATTTGCATAGTGGAGTACCGACCATATAAATATGGTTGGTACCGGGAAGACGGGGGAGGAATCAAGAGATTCAGCCAGAGACTCTGCCCGACTGCAACAAAAGACTATATGTAAATATTGTGTACACTTTCTTGTTTCAATACATTTTGTTGTAAGTACATTTTGTGTTGCATTATTATTCTATGCATTAGTCAAGTTTCATATATATATATATATATATATATATATATATATATATATATATATATATATATATATATATACTTATACACAAGGGGTACAGTGTGTGGAGAATTAGGTAATGAAATATTAACAATCAGCGGAAGAGACAAGAATAATTAATAGGACAGGAGATAGAGATTGACATTGCATTTTAATTTTTGCATATTAATGTTGGCTAGAAAACATTGAAACGGAAAAGCATTCCCCAATCGAGAAATGCTAGAAAAGTAACTGATAGCCTAAAACGTATGGCTTCATCTAGCCAGCTCAATTCTAATATTATAAGAACTTGCCGCAAGTCTAGTACTGCGCTTAAATTCAATAAGTTAAGTTACCATAGCGAAGAATTCATCCGAATAATTATCATGAAACTATTCATAGAAAAAGCATAGAGAGGGAACCTTACGGCGATAGGAAAGGGTATAAAGCCGAGCCGCCAGATCAAGACCAATAATATTGCTGACACTTCTTTAGATTTTATCAAGGTTCTTAAGGCCAATAGCAGGGACATCCGGTCATATGCGGCAGCAATAAATATTTTCTTCAAGAATGC